ATGTAGGCTGGGTCCTCGGAAGGATCCAGTCCATGTAGGCTGGGCCCTCGGAAGGATCCAGTCCATGTAGGCTGGGTCCTCGGAAGGATCCAGTCCATGTAGGCTGGGCCCTCGGAAGGATCCAGTCCATGTAGGCTGGGTCCTCGGAAGGATCCAGCACCTGAATTCAGACACACTGCCGTTCTATGAACATCCAAGACAGTTAAAACTACAAGCAGTTAAAGATGAAAGTGAAAACAAAAATTGGTTTAAAAATTAGGCAAGTCAGAGATGTCAAAATATTTGTGTTAATTATGAGGAATAATAGGTTATTTTTGTTTTTGATGTTTAATTATTTCTGTAGCAGAACCCCCCTATTAAAAACCATTAAATATGATCCTTAATGAGAGTTTCCCTTCCTGGCTCAGAATGGAACTGTTGGAGCAAAATGAGTTAATCAGACACACACAAAAAACAAAGTCTTTCAGGTTTATTTTGGCCAGTTAAAGTTAACTGACTTTTTTTAAAACAGATTAATAAGTGATTAATATTTGTAGTTACATACCATGAACAAAGCAAATGGGCTCTTACTAAAAACGTTATTGTTTCTAATTTTTAAGCAATTGTCTAACAATTTGTCTAAGCAAAAGCAGATTAATTTATATACATTTTGGGTCAATGTATGTGTGAGAGTGTATACTCAACTCTTCAAAGAAACATTAAACTGATTAACTATTAACTAATAGTTAATARCTAATTAACTATAATCAATTAACTAATGATTAGTTATGAATTACTATTAGTAAACTCATAAACATTGTTAACTAATAAAAAAATTAAGTAATGTTCATTAAAAACAGAAGATGTAAAAAAGCTAGAAGCATAAGCACTTATTAAAGCAAACATATTCTTTTAATACTAAATCACAATTTCTAAACATGATCTAAACATCATAATCACATCAAACGCACAGCTATAAAATAACTAAAGAGCCCTTAGAAATGAATGACAAAGTCATACATTTCAAAKGGGKTTAAGCATTTGAATTATGCGTGTGAAAGAAACAGAAACAAACAGAACATTTGTTTTGACTTGTTTTATCAGCTAAACAACAGACTTCTTGAGAACACGAGCTTTTCCCAAGAGAACAGTGGACAGCGAAAGGCTTATTTTTTTAATATCTCTGAGAGCTGAAAAGAGTTCAGTCTGGTCTGTGAGAGGAGCTTTGACCTCAGGTGGTCAAAGGTCAATCAGTGGCAAGATGAGGTGAGGGGAAATGGGCGTGTCCACTACATTTCTACTTTTATAGGGTTCTCTATGTTGTATTCATGATTAAATGCAGCAAAATAAACTATTTCAAAGGTAACAGATCTTTGTAATACTTGGTTTATTTACATAATAACTTTAATTGCTGGATGTTCGGCCCCTCAGCTGTTGACCTGCAGTAACTGTGCCCCCCGGAGCAGTTTACTTGAATAGCCCTGACCCAGAGAGTGTCAATTTGTTTCAGTTGACAGCTGAGCTCAGTGTATTCCTATGAGGYTTTTTGATGGTAGGTTTATTTTTCTGATTTACGTTGACATGCCACTAAAAGAGATTGACACATTCATTCCACAACCGAGCATTTCACTGTTTTGGGGAAATGGATGGCCAAGCTGGACTTAGATCTCTAATTTATGTAGTTCTTTCCTGGTTGGTGCATGTGTGTAAGAACTGTGACTRCCTGTATAAGACACTTTGAAAAAGCTTTTTCTCTCGTTACCCTGTGAACAAATGCTCTGTAGTGTCTCTACTGTCCTTTCCACCTGTGAGTGAGTTGGACTGGTTTTGTCTCTGGAGCAGAAATCACCATGATGGAGCTACCCAGCTTCAGCAGGCAGCTGATGCAACAGCTGTGGACCCTCAGGAAGGAGGGGGTCTTCTGTGACTGCACCATTCTGGTGGGAAATACTTCTCACCAGGCACATAAAGTCCTTCTGGCTGCCTCCAGCACGCTCTTCAGGTACTGTGAACCTAATCTTCAGGTCATTTATTAAAGTCAAAGAATTTCCTAAAAAAATGTTTTGTCAAATTGTAACTTATTGTTTAGTCTCATTTAAAACTAGTAAGATGTATTTTATCAGTGAGAGTTAAAATATCTGGTTTTATATTAAAATATTGTACAGTAAACATGAATATAAAATGGAGAGCTGGATGCATGCTTAAGATCATAAAGCATATCTGTTTATCTGTTATTTTGGATTTACAAATCATGATATTAAAAACTTTTAAATACAGGGTTCCTATACAGATTTCAATAATTTAGAAAAGTCCATCCCCATGGGAAAATTAACCTGCTCCTAACCATAGACATGTATAAAAATAGACTCCTCATGAACAGCTGTTGCCTGACAAGCTGTGGGGCTGCCATCTTGGAACAGTCTCCTTCTCCATTAAGTGTAATGTGTTTGGCAGGAACACTGAAGGATCAGCAGGTTTAATTGATCATAACTTCAGGGGCGGCTGTGGCAGAGTGGTTAGGGGAGTTGTCCTGGAACCRGAAAGTCACCAGAGTGCTGTATCAAAGCACCTCAGTGGGAAGTCTGTGGGAAGGAAAAARTGTGGCAGAAAACGCTGCACAATGAGAAGAGTTGTCAGTCAGTGATGGTCTGGGGTGCCDTGTCAKCTGCTGGTGTTGGTCCACTGTGTTTTATCAAGGCCAGGGTCAATGCAGCTGTTAGGAGACTTTGGAGCACTTCATGCTTCCATCTGCTGAAAAGCTTTACGGAGATGAAGATTTCCTTTTTCAGCACGACCTGGCACCTGCTCACTGCCAAAACCACTGGTAAATGGTTTACTGAC